CCTCGGCCTCCAAGAGAGCTAGGATTACTGGCGTGAGCCACCGCGCCCGGCCTTGGCTACTGTTTTGAAAGACACAAGGAAACAGCCTGAGACAGGCTGAAAGGAGGAAGAATTCAGTGTTTTCTAAGATACGCCACTCCTAGCACCCTCACATAGCCTTAAGACAAGTTGGGGAGAAATAAGTAAAAAGGAAAATCTGTTTGCAAAGACGTCTTGGGATACACGGTTTAGCAGACACTTTTCAGAACAAGCTGATCTGTGTGTTTTAGAAGTGTATTTCCTTGAAGTTTCTCCCAGCAGCACTTAAACCCTTCCATTTTATAATCTGACTTCTAGAAACCTTTGCTTTGAGCAAAAATGAAAAATATTTTTTACTACAGACTGAAAAGAAAAATTCAGCAGCATACATTATGTTATTATATGTGTGTACATGTAATCTATTTTTTGTTTTCAGTAAGAATATTATTCTGGGATGTAAAAAAATCCTGAAAAATACAAAGATAAGAGGTTTCTCTGCCTTCCATAGGAGTATCATGTTACCATGGTGATGAAACCAGCTCTTGATACCTGATTAATCAAGGTGATCCTTTGGCTTCCTGCTTCCTCCTTCCCTGTAACAGAGAGACTCACAGAAGGAAAGAAGAAAGCCAGAGGCGTGCCTGAGAGGTGGCCAGAAAAATACCTGGAGGCTCAGGTTCTGCTCTCAAGATTTTGTTATGTCAATGCCATTCAGAGAAACGACAGATCTTTTCCAATGTTCATTGTTTTGCAAAAGTGGCATTCTGCTTTGAATCATACCTTTAGAGTAATTTTATAAAATATGAAAGATTTAATAAAAATTCAGAGCACCTCCTTTCATGCAGTTTCCACTGCCATCTAGAGAAACTAGAGTGAGTCAAACCCCACCTCGCGTTCCTGGTTGTCCCTCTCCTTAGGTACGCCTGCTCAAAACTTGCTGGGTCCCTCCCACCTTTGCATTTCCCCAAGACTGTGCTACCTACTTAGCTTTCTAACCTACCAGAGCAGTTTCCAGAACCCACCTCAGCAAAACCTTTCCCAATTGATTGGCCTGGGAGTCCTTATTCTCTCCATCCTCACCCGGCTAGGCTCAGGAGGGCTGCTCCTCCTCCTTCCCCTCCTGACATCAGCCCTTAGCAGGTGCTTGACGGGCGTGCTGACAATTAACAAGGGCTCGCAGAACCAGCTGAGCATCAGAATCATCCTATGCAGAGTACTGGGCCCCTTTTTGGACTTCGGGATTTTAATCTCTGGGAGAGAGTCTTGAAATGTATGGTTTTAAAAAACCTGCAAGTGCTTCTGATGCACTGCCAGGTTTGGAAAGCAATGATGTGTGGTTTTAAGTCTGTATCTGTCCTGCCGCCATGGGTATCCGCATCTGCTTTGTTTTGTTTTGTTTTGAGACAGAGTCTTGCTCTGTTGCCTGGGCTAGAGTACAGCGGCGTCATCGTAACTCACTGCAACCTCCAACTCCTGGGCTCAAGCGATCCTCCTGCCTCAGCCTCCCAAGTAGCTGGGACTACAGGCACGCACCACCACGCCCGGCTAATTTTTCTATTTTTAGTAGACACGGGGTCTCGCTCTTGCTCAGGCTGATGTCGAACTCCTGATCTCAAGCGATCTTCCCGCCCTGGCCTCCCAGAGTGCTAGAATTACAGGCATGAGCCACTGCACCTGGCCTCTGCATCCGTTTTTAAGAGGGATAATCAGATATCAGCAAACATACCTGGCAGTGTTTGTTAAATGCAGATTCCTGGGTACCAGCAAACCAAGTCTACCAGATCTGACCCAGTGGGGTGTGGCCTGGGCATCTGCATTTTAACAACACCCCCACCCCCTCCCAATCCTGAAGTGATTTCCTTGTACAGGAGAAACAATGCCTCTTTTGGAGTCAAACCAGAATACCCACAGGGACCAGCGAGTAACTTCAGTGAATGACGTAACTTCAGTGAATGACGCAGCCGGGTGGGGACAGTGAACGAAGGGAAGCTGATGCCCACAGGAAGGAGTAGGTGCTGCTTAGCCTGAGACTTTGTTGCCATTTTGCCTTACTAGAAACAGATCCAGTATTGCCTATGTTTTGAACTTGGCAGAAGCTAGACATTCAGAGAAGTTTAATTTCTCACAATTCAAAAAACAGCCAGTGAACAAACAGCTGCCCTGGTAACTTGTACCCTCTGCCTTTGAGGGTTTTACCCACGTACCTTGAATGTCTGGTAGCGCGCAATGCCATGCGTCATGAGGAGCCTGGCCCAGTAACCTATGACGACTTACACAGGATGACAGAATTGCAGGCTCGCAAGGTCCTGTGGGGTCACCAGGGCCACTCCCATCATAACACTGAAATCCCCCTTCAGCATTCCGGCCCCAGTGCTGACGACGCCCCAAACCACATCTCTCTCATCCGTATCTCCTGCCTGTGCTGCAATACCTGCATGTATTTTTGCTACTTCCACTAAGATATCCCACAGACACCTTAAATGCAACATGTCCCCAAATAAAGCTGTCACATTCTAGTGCCATCACGCCACGTGCCCTTTTCTTTGTGTTCTCTCAGTGAACGTCGATACTGTCCAGCCAGCTGCCGAAGCCAGAAACCTGGGCGTCATTCTTAATTCTTTGCCCTTCCTCACAACCCCTGTATCGGATTATCTACCATGTCTTGCTAATTCTGCTACCACCTGTGTGAAACCTACAAGCTGTCATCTTTCCTAGACAAGCTCCTTGCACCTTTCTCCCTGTGAACATAACACTGCAATTGTCTCAGGACCAGCCAACTTAATTTTACAAAGAAAATCCTGCTCTTTTTCTACAAGCTGAAACCCAACTCACCTTTACTCACCTTTCCTCCTTGGCTGACAGTGGAGCTTACTTGGAAAAGGATAATTTATTAAAGATGAAATTCTCATATTTAGAAACAAATTTGGAAACTTACATGAAGTTCAGGATCATGAGAACTGGCCTTGAAAAAACAGCACTTTAACAATGGATCTGGTAGCCTCCTCTTTATGTTGAAAAGAAGAGGGGACTGAGAGAGCACCAAGTACAGAGATGGCTCTAGGCATCCTCTGCTGAAGAATTCCCAGCCCCAGGCTTCTCTCACAGTCCACGCATGGATACAGGGAAACTCCAACACCAGCAAGAGCCCCAGCAACAATTAAGACGAGCTGGGAACAAATGCAGAGGTCCCAGTGCCCAAAATACCTCAACAGGTTCTCTTCCAATGTCAAATCAATTACTCCTAAAGGCAAGAGAATGAAGAACAAAGCACCTGTGTGTGATAATAAGCGTAGAACCTCAGGTGGAAACTTCTAGTTTCTTTAAAAATATGTCAAACATCCACAGATTCCATCCTTTTGGCATCCTCAAAGAAAAATGACACAATTTGACATGAAAATTAGGCTATGCCTACAGTAATAGTTAAGCTTCTCAAATAAAACTGTAGGAAATTAAATTCCCTCCATAGTACTACTAAAAGTGGGAACATATATTTATTAAACAAAACAAAAATGGATTATCACTTTCGGGGTCAAAACAGAGTATTTTCTTTAATAATAAAACGTATACATAAGAACATTTCAGTGAAATATAAAACAAACATTTTTCTCTCCTTATTTTCAATAGTCTTTTCTAATACCCATAGGGAGGAAGAGATGAAAAACAAAGAAAGCAAAGCCCTGCTAGTCTGCAACTAAAGATCCAGAAAGAAAAATTTACCTCTTAGCTATCATTTCACTCAAGGGATTGTGAAATGCAAAACACATCGATTTATTCCTTAGTAGTCAAGTGAGCAGGTAAACACCTCTTTCAGCATCTCTCTAGATATCTTGGTTTGGGTGGTGAATAAAGAAGGAAACTCTCTAAAATGCCAAATTTGGAAAAGATACCACCTAGAAATAAGTGACAGTAATTCACAGGGATACTAAAAATAAGAATCAAGTTGCAATATCGGTACTCAGTGACGAGGTATCAGTGCACCTTCCCAATCTTACCACTTTACCGGGTCTACATGGATCTTCTTTAGAGCTTACATTTTTTCATAAATTGTGGAATATTTTTTGAGAAGAAAGAGTGTAGGTCACTGAGGCCATTTGTTCTTGTAGCTGTCTGGTTGGGGGAGATCCAAGTGCGTATGAAGATGAGGGAGAGCGTGTGGCTGGCCCTTTTGCTGCTGGTCTTTCCATCTCCAGAAGCTTTGAGCACATTTGTCTGAAGTCAGACAATGCCAGCTCTTTTGATATTAGGTCTCTGGGTGGAGCTTTCAAAATCATTCTTTGTTCCACTTTTCCTGTATTGTCAAACTGTGCCCAAAAGGTCGTCTAGAGTGTGAATTTCAAACATGTGCTATTAATATGCCCAAAAGTGTTGCTGCAGAAAAGAAAAAAATATATATATTAATTGAATCCTGGTCTATTTTTACACATAATATCACAAGTATATCTTCTGTGTCCTAAAACAATAGGAAATGATTTGTAAAACCATGTGAAATCTTCAGGTGAATAAACCTACAGGTTTTAAAATATGTATTAGCTATTGTTATTAAAAGTAATTACTATCTTACAACAATTCTCCAACAAAAACCACACAGAGTAAGTAGAGGTAAACAATGAAAAAAAGAATAATTTTGTCACCTTTCTTTCATTTACTCTGGCCTTCCTGTTGGAATACGGATGATCATTAGCAACATTACTACATCTGTAGACACTTCATATTTTAACATTTCTTTGTAAATGTTTCTTTTTAGAATATTTTTCTCATGAATGTTTTTTGGGAAGATCACTATTATTCCAATTTTACAGATGTCACATGGCAATCATGACAGTATCTACCCTCATAGGATTGCTTCAGGGATTCATTAGATCATCCACATTAAGTGCACACAGTATTTGGCACATTACTTATTGTGTACTCAAAACATGTTAGCTATTAATAAAATACAAAAGTATTAGCTACTATATTAAAGTTATTGGAAGTCCATTTTAAGCAGGCCAATCTGGTTTGCGTCTTCCTCTGGAACTGGATAGTTCTTCCAAAAAATGCAGATACCACTGTTTCCATCTGCTGGGAGTGCTCTGCCCTCCACACCCCTGGCTCCTAACCCGTCTCCCTGGCTGGTTCTTAGTCTTTAGATCGTGGCACAGACAGTACTCTCCAAGGTACAAACAGTCTCTGACCTCTCCCGAGTCTAGATTGTATCACGCATAGTGGGTGACACTAAAGCTTCATGAGGGCAGAGATCATGTCTATCTTTACGTACCACATCCTTAGCACAATGCCAGAATATCACGGGTGCTCAGTGAATACCTGCTGTAGGAGGACATCTGGTATCTGAAATCAGCCTGGCTGGTGATGGGAATAACAGGTTCTGAGACAGTAGGAGAGATGCTGCCGGCCTGAGATAAGCAGCAGCCGGTCATGGAGCCGGTCGAGGATGAGGATGGTGAAATGGGAGGTGGCACTGCAGAAGCTCTGAGCAGAAGCTGGGGGCGGAGGGGAGGGGCAATCGGCTCCAGAGGAAATCAGGTTCCATCTGGTTACTTAAGGTCAAGCTAGCAGAGCTGCGTCCAGACACGCTGATTCTGGACATCCAGATACCAGCTCTGCAGCATGGGGAACGAGAGCCTGGGCTAACTGCACCTGTTTTCACTCATCAGGGAAGAGTAACTTAGAAACCAGCACAGCTCTTAGGTCCCAGCCTTCCGACCAGAGTATTAACAACAAAATGCGAGTCTGGGGCCCCTGCCAGCTGGAGCGAAAGAGCCCAGTCTGATCCGTGGAGCCCTGGAGACTTACCAGTTGGGATGTGCTGTGCATGTCTGGCCCAACACAGAATTACAGTGCTGAGGAAGGAACTTTGAGACTTTGGGCACAGCTGAAGGTAAATGAATTGAGATGTTCTGATTTGTTACGGCAGCTGCATCATAGGAAGGGATGACTTTAGAATAATATCTGACATGGAAGGAATTCAGAGAGAGAGCTGCACTGGGAATGCAAGCTTTATACAGATCACCAACAGCATTCTCTGCAGTGGAGGCTGACTGACCTTAAATAAGAAAGAAAACAAATATCTGTCAGTATGCACAATTCTATAACTCGAAACTACTGTATTTGAAATAAATTGTCCTCTATCTCATTTCTTCATGGTACAAATTTGTACTATTGCTACACTCAAATGCTGACGGAAGAACAAACCAAACTTTTTAATAGTGACATTTACTGCAATACACACATTATAAATTAGTGTTTGTGTGTCATTAAAAGATTTTAGAGAAGCATCAGATCCCTGTGCCTTCTGATGTCTGTGTTTGGCTTTTATCATAAGCAAAATTGAGCATTCCTATGAAGCAAGAACAATTCCATTCAGCCACAAATAAATTTTGGTTGATTTTTTGTCACTGAAGTAGGTTATATCATTATATATCCATATTCTGCACAGTAACTGGAAGAAAAATTTTGAAATATACCATGTTAACAATGTCATCACAAATTATACTGTAAATATTTATTTTCTTCTGGACATTAATAATAACGAAAGTTAAATGATACAATTTTATGTCCACTTTAAATATAAATGTATCTGAAATGTTTGTGAAAAATAATTTAAGCAAATGTTCACAGAGATTTACAAAGAACACAAAAAGCAAGCTGATGAAGTCTAAAGGCATCTGTGTCACAGGTAAGGCTTAGCACAGAAATCTCGGGACCTTGGCTGGTCATTTAACTTCTCCAGGCTTCAACTTTCTGACGCGGGTGGTGAAAGTGAAATTTGGAAGACTTAACCGATTACCACTCTTCCAGTTCTCTTTCAAAAACGATTTGGCAACATGCATTAGGAGCTATACATACACTCATGTTCGCTGTTCTCTAACTCATTCATCACACACTTCCAGGAATCCAGCCCAAGGAATAGTCTAAAATACAGAAAATCCTACATATGGGAAAGTATTTCCTATCACATGATATGTAAAACCACTCTTGCCCCAAACTGGAAATGCTAAATGTAGCAATTGGAAGATGACTAAGAAAAATCATTCTATCAATCATTTGAAAAAACTATTAAAACCATTAAAATGGTGATGAGGGCTGCATAAGAACAAACGAAAATATTTAAGACCCCAAATCAGGAGACAAAATGGGATGTCCAATATGATTTAGAAAAATGTACCTGGAAAAAGACTTGAAACACATAAAAAATGAACACGGTGATTATCTTAGCCCAGTTAGTAAAGGATCAATATTGCTTTTCAAATGCAAAAATGTATTTAAATACAATTAAAATGGGGATTTTGCCTCGTTGACCTTTGAGGTCTCCTCAGGTCTGAACATGCCCTAAATCTACGGTCCTAGTATATATCCGTGTCTTCCTGAGAGCGGTCTCCTGAGGTGCAATGGGGCACAGAAAGGCCTGAACTCACTACACTGGCATGAAAAGAGTGTTTCAGAGATTCTGTGGGATATAAATAGTATTGTATGTACAAGAAATAACACTGACAGGCATATGCCTCTGGCCTGACCTCTATCTGACTTCATCTGGGCTGATTTAATCATTCCACGTCACATTCAGCCACAGCTACTTTAAGTAGATTAACCATGGCTCCGGGCAACTCTTTTCTACTCTCCTCTCCTTTCCCCTAAGTCAGGAGAAAACTCTAAACTGACTAATAGAACTTTCTGAGGCTTATTTGATGATATGAACAAGGACGGCTGGGTTCCATTTGGACCCCATTCTCTTTTGCCTTTAGACACCATCCCCATTGGTCTCCACGGCTTCCACTCATCCCCGTATGTGCACAGTCCCTCCACTACAGCACTTAAAATACCATGTGAACCTATTTCGCTTTTGCAACCTCTCTGCCGCTAATTGGTAAGCTCTGTAAGAACAAGAACTGCATCTTGTTCACCGTTGTGTCCCCATGTTTGAGGCAGGAACATTTAAGCTGAGAACTTGGGGACAGACATGGAGCTAACCAGGCAGTGAGGGGAAGGACATTCTGGCGTGAGAGCAGAACCCCTCGGGGGACAGTTGGCAGAAAGGTGACCTGAGACCCTGTCGTCTTGCATCTAACTTTCAGGTTAGGAGGTTCATATCTTCATGGTTTCTCCATGGAGAGTAGCCTTCAGGAATACTAAAAGTCACAAACTGGTAGCTGTGTTCTTTTCTCTGGCTCTATTTTTTTCCATCTTCTTACTTCTACAAGTATGTGGGCATGCCTAGGCTTCTATGACACGTATAACAAAAATGCCTGCCAGTGGGGAAACATTTGTTTTGTGATGAATGTTTATATGAGGAGATTTCTTGAGCGCCTACTGTGTGTTGGTCATTGTTCTAGGTACTAGAGGTACAGCAATGAATAACACACGCAAAAATAAATAAATAAATCCTGGCTTTCATGGAGTCGACGTTCTAATGGGAGAAGACAGGCAACAAACAAACAAAACATCCAAGTAAAGAATATTCGAAAGTGGTAAGAGCAATGAAGACAAATCCAGCAGAGTCCCCTACATTATGTTTATGGGGGGAGGCTATGGCAGCTTGCAGGAATGCACAGCAGCCCAGGGTTTCAGGGGGCAGCCACACAGGCCCAAGCGTACTATAAGTGGCACAGGGGTTAGGCAGAGCTCACCTCTCACCGCTTCATCCAGGGAGGCCCCTGCAGCAGGAACAGAATACATATTCAAGCACTTGTTAGCCAGGATTTGGATTCCTCTCACAGGTGAGTAAGTGCTTGCCAACACACTATTTTCCCTTGAAAGCACAGAAAAGAAAAAATACTTTGCATATTTTCCAAGGAAGACAATAGGAACATTGCTGAAGAGTTCAAGTACTCTTTCATCATTCAACTACTAGAAAACACTGACAGAGCCTCAACTATGGATTATTTACATATGAACAAAGAGTTGAACATGACCCAGAATGTGCAGGAATGAATGATGTGCTTTTCCTCTATAGTTACTCTTTGTTTACGGATTCCAATCAACCTACATAAGGAAGCGATCATTTGGCACGTCACATTTTGCACCAGTGAGATGCCTTAAGGATCACTCATTGAAATAGGACTACTCTAGGGGCCTGTAAACCTCCGGGGCAGAGGAACACTGGAATTCCTCGTGCCCCTGCTAGGATTGCCACGGTCACTACAGTCACAAGCAGCAAAGCCCCATTTTAAGATTCTCAGAAATAACAAAAGGAGAAGTAAGGGTGAGTCAAATGATGGAATATTACACGTGTTTATCGCTGGAACGAAGTGTTACACATCAGCCATGGGAAAAGTTCACCGATCCATAATAAATCCCTGAGCTTTCACTGAGGATAGGTTCAGTTTCTGCCTACACATCTAGCATCAGCATTGGAGGAAAATAACAAGCAGACTCTAGGTTCACAAGAGGCCTCATCATACCTTTGTGCCACGATGGTGCCTGGGAGAGACAGGTGAATGGGCATTTGCTGTTTCACAGAAAACCTCCTATTGCTCTGGAGTGCTTCTGTAATCTAAAAACATAGAGATAGAAATGTATTTAGATAGATATTTTTACAGATATACAAAAGACACATACATTTCCAATTACAGGGAAAAAAAAAGAAAATTATAGCATTAAAGCATCGTATATACGGATAAAATTCAAGGCTTTAAGAGTCAAATACCTGGTCCATGATAGCTGCAGGGATTTGCTCTCTGATGTATTTCACATAATCAACTGTTGCCTCAATAACTGAAGCCGCATCGTTCTTTCTCCCCTTTACATACGGCAAGAGGATGCGCAGCTGCTCACAGCAATACTTGATTCTTTCTCTGGACAGAGAATTGTAACAAATGAGGAATAATTAGTCTCATTTTCCTCCTTGTATCCAAGGACAAACAACCCTTCCTCCTGGGTATGTTTGTCAAGGACTGCCCCCACCCTCCCCAATCTAGTCTCTGTTTCAGAGAAAGGCTATGTCCCCACAAGCCAGAGGCCCTCACAGCCCCGGGAATCACAACTTCCTGGGGCGCCCACTCATACTGCCGCACCAGGAGCTGCTGCTGAGGTACGCTGTGTGCTGATGGCAGTCCCAGCTCCTGGCCCCGGGCCTGCTGCAGTGCAAGGATGCCCGGACACTAGAGGAAAACACGCCTCCCCCTGCCCGCTGCTGCCTATGGAAACCAACAGACCACTCTGCCCTTTGGTGAGAGAAGCGCACGCTATATATAAATCCTTTTGTGGTTCACACTAGAAACCTAGACAGCAAAGAGCAGTCAGGAACTTCAAGCCACTAGGAACTGGACCACATTTCCATTAGCATTTTGTAACAGACCAGCTTTATATGTCATTCTGTGGCTGGAGCTAGGGGAAAATCAGAAGGCTGCTTCCTCTATAGGAGGTATAGGCAGAATGAATAAACCAGTATGCAAATGAGAATAACACCCAGGCTAGTATGAGACACTAACCTAAGTCTTTCATAGCTCTGAAGGGAAATAGATAGGACATGTAGATCTAATTGATTTAAGCCCCTGGTGCCTTCACTCATTCATGTGCTCATTTAATAAACATTATTAAGCACCTGTTTTGTGCTGGATGCTGCCTTGACATATGCAGGGTGGAATGGTGGCTCTGCTAGCTACTAGCTGGGACCTTAGGCAAATTGCTAAACCTCTCTAAACCTCAGAATGGCAAAGAAATTAAACAAAAAATATAGTTTGACACGGAGGTAGTGAATCACTCAAATATTCTATATCAGTGGTGTTCCCATTGAGCTTTGAGAGCTCTGTGGGTTCTGTGGAAGTGTCCCAGAAACTATTCTGGAAAGAAAAGGGCGAAGAGTCAACAATTTGACAACGTGCGTGAAGGGCTTTGAAACTCTTCACACTCTGGAACAGTATTTCCACTTACAAGGATCTATCCTAAGGAGATAATCTAAAACAAAGAGCAAACTTTTTATACACAGACACTCATATGGCAGTACATTAGTAAAATACGGAAAACAACCCAAACACACAATATAGGAGAATGCCTTAAGTAAGCTATAGTATAGTAGGGTAGTAGAATATCATCTGGCAGTGGAAGTGATATGTTATAAAGCTTATCGGAGAACAACTGGATATGTAACAGCGTGTAAAATATAATCGTAGCCATTAAGCAAAGGAAAAGTGAAGCATAAAAAAAGACTGAAGGCAAAAACATCAAGTAATAGTTATTTCTGGTTGCCTGAACTATGAATAATTTTTATTCCTTTCATTTTCTATATTTTCCAAATATTTTTGCTAGGCATATGTCACTTTCGTAATGAAAAATCCTATTGAACATCTTTTTCAACATCAGGAAAATGTTCAAACATACAGAAAAGTTGAAAGAATTACACGGTGAACACCCACCACTTAGAGTCTACTACAGTTAACATCTATTGCACAGGTTGAGTAGCCCTTGTCCAAAATGCTTGGGACCAGAATGTTTTGGATCTCAGATGTTTTTGGATTTGGGGATATTTGCACATACATGATATCTTGGGGATGGGACTCAAGGATTCATACAAAACTCATTTATGTTTCATATAGACCTCATATACATAGCCCGAAGGTCATTTTATACAATATTTTTAGTAATTTTGTGCATGAAACAAAATTTGCATACATTGAAGTATCAGTAAGAAAAGGTGTCACTCTCTCACGTTGATGCTCAAGAAGTTTCAGATTTTGGAGCATTTCAGATTTTGGATTTTTAGATGAGGGATGCTCAATCTGTATTTGCTTGATTGTACACGTATCATCCCCTGTTCTTACAGGAACCCATTTGAACACATCAAAGTAAGTTGTAGACTTTAGTACACGAAACCCCTAAACACATCATTAGCTAGAGTTCAAATTATTTCATTTTCAGGCAAAAGTTACATCAAATAAAATGTACAAATCCTACGGGTCCCATTCTGTAAGTGTGGACAAATAAAACTGTGTAACATAAACCCGAATCAACATCATCACAACCCCAGAAAGTCCTGTGTGTGCCTTTCCAGTCAATCCCATTCCCCATCCCCACAGGGCAACTACATTTTTGATATTTTTCCATCCCATGTTACTCTGCCTGTCTTCAAATATAAATTTGATTTATATTTAGTTGATGTAAATCAAATCTTACAGTATGTATTCTTTTTTTTTTTTTTTTTTTTTTTTTTTTTTTTGAGACAGAGTCTCGCTCTGTTGCCCGGCCTAGAGTGCCGTGGTGTCAGCCTAGCTCACAGCAACCTCAAACTCGTGGGCTCAAGCGATCCTCCTGCCTCAGCCTCCCGAGTAGCTAGGACGACAGGCACGCACCACCACGCCCGGCTAATCTTTTCTATTTTTAGTTGTTTGGCTAATTTCTTTCTATTTTTAGTAGAGACAGGGTCTCACTCTTGCTCAGGCTGGTCTTGAACTCCTGAGCTCAAACGATCCACCTGTCTCAGCCTCCCAGAGTGCTAGGATTACGGGCGTGAGCCACCACATCCAGCCTAGCATGTGTTCTTTTGCAGGGCTTCTTTCACTCAGAATAAGGCTTTGGGATTTACACATGTGGCTGCCTATATCAGCAGTTGGTTCCTTTTTCCTGAGCAATAGCGTTTCATAGTATAAATATGCCACAGCTTATTTAACCAATCACTTACTGATGAACACTTGTGCTGTTTCCAGTTTTTGGTCATTATAAATAAGGCTGCTAGATCATCCTTGACATCTTTTTGTGAATTCATGTTTTAATTTTTCTTGGGTAAATAACCAGGAATAGAAAAGATGGGTTTCTGGCGGAACTTTGACCAAAGTAGTAACATTTTACCATCCATGTATGAGACTTCTTGTTCTTCCAAACCTTTGACAATATTTAATATTGTCAGTAGTTTTAATTGTAGCATTTTGGCCTTTCTAGGGTATATGTAGTAGTATCTCATTATGCTTTAATTTGCAAATCCCTGACATCTAATGACATTGAACGCTTTTTCCTGTGCTTATTGGGCACTTGCATAGCCTCCTTTGTGAGGTGTCTGTTCAAACATTCTGCCTACATTCTAATTCAATTGCAGGTATTTTATACTGAGCTTCTGGAGTTCTTTATGCATCCTGGATACTAGTATTTGTTAGATATCTGTTTGACAAATCTTTCCTCCCAGTCTCTGGCTTGTCTATTTATTCTCTTAAAGGTGTCCTTTGATAGCAAAAGTTTTAAATTTTGATAAATGCAATTTATCTACTCTCTTCTATGGTTATGGCTTTGCTGTCTAAAGAACATTTGCCTACCTTCACCTCATGATGATGTTCTACTGTCTTCTTATAGAACTGAATTGTCCAATACAGTAGCCATTATCCACCTGAGTCTATTTAAATATAAATTAAAAATAAATATAATTTAAAATTCATTTTCTTAAGTTGCAATAGCCACATCTCAAACTCTCAATAACCACGTGTTGCTAGTGGCTACTGTACTGGACGATGCAGATAGAAGCAATTCTAACACTGTAGAAAATTTGATCAAACAGCGCCATCCCAGACGCTTCATAATTTTAGCTTTATAGTATAGCTTTGACCATGCTTCATCTTGAATTAATTTTTTATATGGTGTGAGGTAAGGGGTCGCAGTTAATTATTTTTCTGTATGGATATCTAGTTGTTCCAGCACCATTTATTAAAAAGGCTTTTTTCACCCAGATGTTTGCTTTGGTGCTTTTGTTGAAAATCAAATGACCATAAATACGTAGATCCAGTACTGGGCTATTGTGTTCTATTGGTCTATTTGTCAACCTTTATGCCAGTTACATACTGACGATTGTAGCTTTATAGAATAAGTCTTTAAGTCAGATGGTTTAAGTCCTCCAACTTTCTTATACTATTGCAAGATGTTTTGGATATTCTAAGTCCTTCTCACACATTTTTAAATCATCTTGTCAATTGTTTACTAAAAAATAACTTGCTGGGATTATGATTTGGATTCAAATATAGTCCTATTTCAATTTGGTGAGAACTGATATCTTAACAATAGTGAGTCTTTTAATTCATGATTATGGTATAATGCATGATTTAGGTTTTACTTAATTTCTCATGGCAACATTTTGAATGATTAATATACAGATCTTTTGTGTCTTTTTGCATATTTGTTCTTAAGTATTCAAAGGCTATTTTATTCTATTATAAATGTCATACTTTTTAAATTTTCATTTTACAATTGTTTACTGTTTATAAAATACAATTGATTTTTGCACATCGACCTTATATTCTGCAACTCTGCTATATTCATTTTTTAGTTCTAGCAGTTGTTTTGTAAATCTCTTAGGACTTTATAAACAATCATGCCATCTATAAGTAAGAGGGTTTTCCTTCTTGCTTTCTAATCTGTATGTCTATTATTTATCATGCCTAACTGTAATGGTAAGATTATTTAGTTGATGATGAATAGAAATGGTAAGATTGGGCACTCTTACTTTGTTTCTGATCTTTTTAAGGAACAGTCAGAATTTCATCATTAAATACAATGTTAGCTAGAAATTTTTTATACATGCCCTTTAATAGATTGAAAAGGTTCTCTTCCATATCTATTTGCTGAAAGGTTTTTTTAATCATGAAAGGATACTGAATGTTGCAAAATAATTTTTGTAAATCTGTTAATCATATGATTTTTCTCTTTATTCTGTTAATATGGTGAATTTCATTGTTTGCTTTTTGAATGTTACATTATACCAGCCTTGCTTTCCTAAGATAAACCTGATATGGTCATGATACATTGTGTCTTTATATATTTTTGGATTTGACTTTCTAAAATTATGTTACATATTTTTGTCTCTATGCTCATGAGGAAT